AGGCAGAAAAAAGTTAAATCAGTTCCTTTTTATTTCTTCAGTAAAGATCATGCTAGTTCTCATTAGTTATGGAAATGAAGCAGTTCTATAGAGAGGAATCATTTACTGAGTCTTTATTAGGCACTGAACTGAAACGGTGAAGAAGAATAAAAAAGGACCTTTGCCCTCGGGGCTTACAAATCTGTTTAAAAATATGACATAGCAAAAGTAAAAACAAGACAACTGTCTTAGTCACTGTTCTATTGCTGTGAAGAGACACTATGACCAAGGCAACTCATACTGGGGATGGGCTTACAGTCTCAGAGGCTTAACCTGTTACCGTCATGGTGGGGAGCATGGCAGCAGGCAGGGGTGGTGCTGCAGAAGCAGCTGGGAGCTACATCCTGGTCTATAAGCAGAGAGAGAGTGACACTGAGCCTGCTTGGGCTTTGGAAACCTCAAAGCCCACCCCCAGTGACACACTTCCCTAATGTGACCACACAATCTACTCCTAGTCCTATCAAAGCCTTTCTTTCTCCGGTGTCGACTGAGCAGTCAGATATAGGAGCCTGTAAGGAAGATGTGCATCCTCACTTCTTCAGAGACAAAATTTAGACAGCACTGATGAACAGACAACTTCCTCCTGTGCTTCTGTTAAGTCTTTAAATTCTTGACATGCTGATAGTGAGAAAAATTCCAGGGTAGATGGGTGGGTATCTTCATCTTTACTAGGTGAAGGTGGAAGGGGAGGGAGTTTGTATAGAGTAACAGATTTGATTATGAAGAAAATTACTGTCAGCATGGCTAAATTAAGCTGATAGAAATACCAGTCCGGTGTGTGCATATACTACAAACACAGCAGCATGAAATGATAGAATTGTAACTAAACCCTAAAGAGAAAGAAAGAAGTCAGGGATGCTAGAAATTAGAGACATCAAATCAGTGAATAGGAGATAAAGTACAGGGGCTTTTTTGGTCCTGGTTATCTGTGGTATGGGTCTCAAGTAGAGCTTCAGTACATACATGGGGACAAGAAGTGTAGCACTGAGGGCTGAAGAGATGGCTTAGTGGTGAAGAGGACCTGGGTTCAGTTCCAAGCTCACAGCCATCTCTAGTTCCATGGGATGCAAAGCCTACTTATGATTTCCACAGACATCAGACATGTACAGGCACATACATTTATACAAGGAAAACATTTATACTCATAAATTAAGGTGTATTTTTTCATAATGATAAACGGAATAATTCAGCAGGAATTAATCTTGATCTGTATCCGGCTAACATCTCAGAGTGTATAAAATAAAGGTTTATAGGCTCAATAGACGACCTACAGACACAGCTGGAGAGTTTAACATTTCTTTCTGAGGTCAGTAGATAACCATACTACCTCCACTCAAAAAGGGCAGGCAGAATATTTGAACTACACTATTAAAAGCTTGCTTTTTAGAGAGTTTAAAATTGATCTCTAAAATGTAGGCTATAGGGACTGGCGACAAACCTCAGTGGATAGATGTTGATAGATTAACATCTGGTTTTGTGGAGTTGACACAAGCTAGAGTCAATAGAGAGGAAGGAGCCTCAGTTGAGAAAATGCTTCCAAAAGATTGGGCTGTAGGCAAGGCTATAGGGTATTTTCTTAATTCATGATTGATGGGGAAGGCCCAGCCTATTGGGGGTGATGCCTTCCTTAAGCTGGTGGTCCTGGGTTCTAAAAGAAAGCAGACTGAGAAGCTATGGAGACAAAGCCAGTAAACAGTACTCCTTCATGGGCTGTGCAGCAGCTCTTGCCTCCAGCTTCCTGTCCTGACTTCCTTCAATGATGGATAATGATGTGGAAGCATAAGCCAAATAAACCTTTTCTTCCCCAATCTTCTTTTGGGTCATGGGGTTTCATTGCAGCAACAGAAACCCTAAGTAAGACACTAAATAGAGTTCCTGCCTGATGCCTGAACCCTCCTTGTTTAAAAGACAGAAGACTGTACGTGTTCATTTTAGATACTGATAAACATTTGTAAAAATAACCTCATGTTAAAGCACAAAGAGATGACTCCACATACACTTAAGTGTGTCACATGGACTGTATTCTCAAACTCAGTTTTCAAAGCTTTATTTGAAAATATTTTTTTATTATGTATCCCAGAGTATCCTCAGACTCTTGATCTTCCAGCCTTATGCCTCCTGCATGCTGGAGTAATAAACATGTGCCGACACCTAGCTAAGAACAATGTTTAAATGAAATAACTAGATTTTTTTAAACTTTTGCTGTTGTTCCTAGGGCTTCTCTTCTTTCTTGAGGAAATAAAAAGTCTTCTGATTTCTCTTTTAGTTATCCTGGGCATGATTGTTATTCAGTGGCTAAGTCTGTTAATTCATTTAGCAATTGCAAAGCCATGATTCTGTAGTTTTATTATTTTCTTCTGGAGTTTGCGCCTGTAGGGAGCTGTTTCCTGTCTATTGGTTATCTGATTGTCCCATTTAAGCCAGGAAGAACATGTATTTATTTTTTGAATTTAAGTACTTTGCCTACATGTACATCTGTACATCCATGCTTAGTATCTGAAGAGGTCAGAAGAAAGTGTCAGATCACCTGGAGCTGGAGTTGTGAGCCATCATTTAGGTGTTAAGAATTCATCTCTCCAGTCCTCCAACCCCATCTTTCCTAACCAGTAAGATTCTCTTCACGTTGACTGCCTATTCTGTGGGGAGTGTGTGTCCCCTACACAAGTTTCATATATAGACATATATATAGGGTTTGTTTGTTTGATTGATTGATTGATAATTAAAATGTTTTGTCTGTTTTGCAGTTTAAGCCTTGTATATAGTGGGTGCTCTTACTAAGCTATAATTCCCAGTCCTGATCTGTACTCTAACCTGTATATTGGAGGTAGTGTTTCATTACTGTATAGAATTGCGTTATATTTTGTAACAGCTACACAAAAGTTCATTGTGTAGCTGTCTGACAATGAATATTTTGGTTGTTGTCCTCTGGTAGTAGGGCTTCCGTGATGAATGTCTTGGTTCATGTGTGAGGATAGCTGCAGGATCAGTGGTCAGAAATGGGACAGCTAAGTAGCAGCTTGCCGCATAACCTTTCAAAAGCAATGACAAGTGTCTCTCTCGCTCTTCTTTCTTTCTGGTTCTTGCTTTTTTCTTTCTCTCTTTCTCCCATTCTCTCTCTATTGCTTGTTCTCTTGCTCTGTCTGTCCTGGAACCATAGAGCAGGTGGGCCTTGAGAGACCCGCTGCCTCTGCTTCCCTGATGCAGAGGTTAAAGCTGTGACTCACCACTGCCAGGCATTCTTTCCCCTTCTTGACGATCTTGTGATAATGTGATAGATAAAAGTTAATCTCACTGCAGTTTTTCTTTGTATTTCTTCATTTGGAGCTGTCAGTCCACATCTCTTATCTACCATAACTGGCCTGTTGATCAAATACTGATTTGTGAACAAATTGCCCCTTTTTAATATATTGCAGTCATTTTTTCCCCTAACTATCTCTCTTCTTTTGTCTGTTGGTTTTTGTTTCAAGAAGTTATTCTGTTGCAATTTTCAAGATTTTTAAAAATCCAAATAAGAGAATTAGTAGTACAGAGGCTCCCAGTCCTTTAAGAGTTAAATCGCCTTTCTACACCCTACTACGTGAGTGTACATGTCCTACAAAGAAGACTGTCTCCAAAAACCATAAGTTAACTAACATCCTGTCTCACTCATGGTTTCCAGATTTCACTTGCTGGAGCAGGATGAGGAAAATGTTCTTTTCACCAGTGCCACAGATGGCATTTAGTTGCCCTATCTCTTCAAATCCTACAGAACAACTTTGGTGTTCTCACAGTGTTTGATTCTTCACAGCTGTATTCGCAGTGTCCACTTTTGTCAGGAACATCACAGAAATTCTGTTGTGTGCTGTGAGGTGGTGCCGTTTCACTTTGTTTTCCTGATGACCTAACTTTGAGCTTTTCCCACAGTTGGCACTCATTCTGTTTCTCTTAATCTGTAGATAACTTGAAGTCCCTTACTTGTCATACTTTTCAGTGTATTTATATCTGTGTTAATGTATGGGTTATACCTTTGGTTACTTTATTGCGGCATACTTTTGCTTTTTCAAGCTCCCCTTCCACTCCCCCCCCCTTTTTTTTTTGAGCACTTTCTTTCTGCCACAAGATATTCTAGGCTTATTTTGTACTTTTCTGCTTATTTTGTACTTTTGTAGTCCTGGGATCTACCATTTCTTCAACGAGTATGAAAATTTCCTCTTATAGAAAATATTATTTAGAAGCAAGATCCAACTGCTAGTCATGCTCGTTCCTTTGAGGAGCTTCGTGTTGTCTGGTGTGGAGAGAACTAAGGCTAATGAGCACGTTTTCCATGCGCATATAAATACTTACATCTGTATTTCTCTATCTGCGGCTGAAATCATGAGTTCACACTATACCTTTGATTCTAGTCTCAACATCAAAGCGCTTATCGGTGCTTTCTGTTTTTATAGTTACAGCTATTTTAACAGAAATCTGACTTTCATTAACCTGTGTACTCACTTGGCCATCATTTATTCTGCCGTTACATGTGAGCCATTCTGCCATCACCTCAGCTGTGTGAGACTCTTCCTACTCTGCTAAGCCATTCCCTCCACCTCCCTGTTGCAGATTTCTTCCATGCTCTAAATGTCGAGCACCATATATCAGACCACACTCTGGATATCTTTTTTTAGCCCAGTCTGGTCCTAGTACACAGAAGTCAGCTGTTTCTCTTCATAGGTGATGACCACATGTTGCTGTACAGTGCCACCTCTTGCTAGTATGTTCACCTCACTTCACTCTGCTCTGTCCTGCTCGCCCTTAACTAGCCATGTCCTCACTTTTTTCCTTTTTAAAATTTCTTCCAAGCTTTATAAGATGTTTAACATCTGTCAGATAGTCATCCAGTTGGCTGAAATGCCATACAAAAATTCTGTTGCTCCCCTCTCTTGCCAAATTTGAGATTTTTATTAAAAAGATGGATTCCATTTTTCTCTTACCTTTTGCAGATGATGTTCCTGCAGATATGGTTGCAGAAGAATCAGGTCCTGGTGCACAAAATAGTCCATACCAACTTCGTAGAAAAACTCTTTTGCCAAAAAGAACAGCGTGTCCTACAAAGAGCAGTATGGAGGTTAGTTAATTGTAATTGGTTTTGTAATGAAAGAATGGGGGGGGGTTACAGTTTTTGAGAATTATTATATATAGTAGAAACACTTGATTGATAAGTTTTCTTTTTGGTTTTGAAGGGTGCCTCAACTTCAACTACAGAAAACTTTGGTCATCGAGCAAAGCGTGCAAGAGTGTCTGGAAAGTCACAAGATCTATCAGGTATTTTGAATAGGAAGCTAAGAAATGAGGCAAAAGTAGTTTCAGAAGTTTGTATTTGAGCCCAAGCATTGTGACACAAGCCTTTAGTCCCAGCATTCATGGACAGAGGCAGGTAGATCTCTGAGTTCAAGGCCATCCTGGTCTAGAGAGTTTCAGGTCAGGGCCACATAGAGACCCTGTCAATAATCATGAAAATGATGATGATGATGATGACGACGATGAATGTGATGCCAAAAATTAAATTAAACATTATCTGAATATTTCAAAAGTAGTTACCATTAAGAATATATTAGAACCTAACATTTCCCTCTTTGACTTTTTTACTTTTAATTATGGGTATGTGTGCTTCTGCAAAGAGGGTATTCCAGTTGCCGAAATAAGCCAGAAGAGGGCATCAGATTTCCTGGAGCTGGGTATATAAGAGGTTGTGAGCTTCAGGTTATAGGTGTTGAGAACCAAACATGGGTCCTCTGAAAGAGCAGCACAAACTCTACATGCTGCACTATCTCTTCAGCCCCTGTCTTATTTTTATATAGAAGTGGTTTTTTGTTTGTTTATTTCGTTGTTTATTTGTTTGTTTGTTTTAATAGCCAAGCCAAATGGTACAGCCATAACCCAGCTACCTGGGAGGCTAAAGGAATGTGTAGGGATTGGGACTAGAAAACTAAGTTCCTGCCTAAGTTACAGTGACTTCAAGGCCAGTCTGGTAAACTCCACAAGACTGCCTTAAACACAAAACAAAAAACAGGTAATGTGTGTGTGTGTGTATACATGTATGTTCGCTAAAGGAAAAATATAACTACATTAAAAATACAGGCTGTTTGTTAGAGAAAATAACTTTAGTAAGGATAAAGTCATTGCTTGATAAATGAATTGTTTACATCCTGTTTGTTAATCTCTTTTAGCAGCACCTGCTGAACAGTATCTTCAGGAAAAGCTTCCAGATGAAGTAGTTTTAAAAATTTTCTCATATTTGCTGGAACAGGATCTTTGTAGAGCCGCTTGCGTGTGTAAACGCTTCAGTGAACTTGCTAATGATCCAATTTTGTGGTAAGTGAAAAGCCAGTCCTTGTTTTCTTGAAATGGGATGTGATGCCTCAAATGCCAAGGAAAGTTGAAGTGTGAGTTTCTAATTACAACTAAGTAATTAAAGGAAAGTTAAAATGCCTATAAATTCTGTTACCTGATTGTTATAAGTGTGGAGGACTTGTCAATCCAAGAAATATTTATTAACCAGTAAGTGGGATTATTTCTTCTATTTACAGGTTTATAACAACTCAGTGATTTGGGAGGAAATGTTTTATTTGTGGAGAGAGGTGGAGTGTTGAAGATAGACTCTTGTATAGCTCAGGCTGGCCTCAGAATGACTTTGCAGCTGAGGTTGCCCTTGAACACCTGTCTCTCCTGTTTCAGACTGGGATGCTGGTGTGTGCCACCACACTGAACTCATTTTGTTTTTTACATTTTTGGTTTTTTATGAAGTAGCGTTGGGGTTTAACAGAGATATTTCAGTACAGATTTAAGTATGGGGTGAAGAAGGTGCTCAGAAGAAAGTAGGACATACCAAGAGCATGGGTGGCAGCTTCTCAAAGAGTCAGCAGAAGTAAGACACCCAAGTGTTGGTATAGCTTCTCAACAGAGTCCTGCCTCATTTTTAGAAGCAGAGAGAGTTGGGTGTGATGGCACACACCTCTAATCCAATTCTAGCAGAGGCAGGCAGAGTTCAAGGCCAGCTTGGTCTACAAAGAGTTCCAGGCCAGCCTGGGCTACACAATGAGACCTTGTCTCAAAAACAAAACAAAAGGAAAAAAAAAATCATTCAAGGGTAATTTTAAAATAATTCTTTAAGTCTAGTTTCAGTTAATATATATGTTATACTGACGTATTCCCTTTGCTCTAGTCATTCTGTTTAGGAAAATGTTTTCACTCTTGCACACTTTTTTAAAATAACAACATGTAGGTAACAAGTAGGTGAGCTACAGACCATCTACTTCCAGCAGTAACAAAATGAGGAAAGCGCTGGAGCTAAGTGTGTTTACTACTCTCACCACGGGGCTGCTTCTCTCCACATAGGGTACACATAATAAAACTCATGCAGAAAATACATATACAAACAGATCTTTTTAAAAAGAAATAGATAAACTATATAATGTCCAGTTAAAAGACTGAGATATTTCTGCTATCTGACTTTTACAAAAAAAGTTGTTTTGTTATTGCTGGGTTTTTGTTTTGTTTTTGAGCCAAGTGTTAGGTGCCCAAATAATCTTAGCATTTGTGAGGTGGAGGCCAGAGAATTTCCCCAACATAGGAAATTTGAGGTTATATGAGACTCTTTCCAAAAGGGGAAAAACAAAAATGTGAAACATAAAATGAAATGCGCAGAAAATAAGATTTGTTCTGCTGGAGCTGAGATAACTCAGCAGTAAACACAGCTGCCACCAAGCCTCACAACGTGCATCTGACCTCTAGAAGCCACGAGGCGGGAGAAGGGAACTGTCCCCATGTGGCCTGTGACCTCCATGTGCACATGGCAAATATGTCCTCCCTCCAGCCTATGTACAGGTTAAAAAAGAGGGTTTTGCCGGGGGGGGGGGGGGGGGGGGGAGGGGGCGCACGCCTACAAGTCCCAGCGCTCAGGGAGGCAGGGGCAGGTGGATCTCTTGAGTTCGAGGCCAGGCTGGTCTGTAAAGCCAGAACAGCCAAGACTACACAAAGAAACCCTGTCTTGAAAAAAAAAAAAAAAAAAAAAAAACAAAAACCAGACAACAACAACAAAAAAAGAGGGTGTTTTACGCTGAGTTTTCAAAGTAAATAATTTATAAATAAAAAGACTAGAAGAAAAATACATTAAACCATTAATAACTATCTTTAGTTACTATTGAAGTATCTTTAGTAATAGCTATCTATACCATTATATACTGTCTTTTTGTATGCTCGTGTCTTATGGAGCAGGGGAAGAGAGAGTATGTGTAGGCAGGATCTTACTGTGTAATCAGGTTGGCTTTGAACTGGAGATCTCCTACTTTGGCTTCCCAAGTGCTAGGATCATAGAGGAGTATGCCGTCACGCATAAGCCCTGGAAGTTATTAATATCTTATGATGTCAAAAATAAGGTACATCTTCTTTTGAAGATACCTCTATTTTAGGAGAAACTGAGAATAAATAGAGAAAAAGAGAAAACATTTTTGTTTGTACAAAAAATTATTCCACTTCTAATATTTGGTGTACTTACTGGGACTAAAGATAGAAAAAGAATTAAGTGCTCCTGAGGCCTACCCCTTGCTGCTGAACTATTGGCTAATGATGGAATCTGGGAGAGAATACAGTCATTGTCTTCAGTGGTGAGCCCACCATCAAAACATCAGGCATATATGCACACATACAGAGTAAATTTGTTTGTTGTTTTTCAAGACAGAGTTTCTCTGTGTAGCCAGGTATGGTTACACACATCTTTAATTCCAGCATTCAAGATGCAGAGGCAGGCTGATCTTGGTCTACTGAGTGAGTTCCAGGATAGCCAGAACTACACAGAGAGACTCTGTCTTGAAAAACAAAACAAACAAACAAATCTAAAGAAAGAGAAGTATACTTTTTATGTGCAGGTGCATTGACACAAATGTGTACTCCTGGCAGTTGGTAGGCTGATGCAGAATTGTGAATTTGAAGCCAGTCTGGACTATATAAATTCAAGGCAAACCTGAGTTACATAGTAGGACCTTGTAGGCCTTAAAACAAAAACAAAAAACACACACATACACAAACACGCGCGCGCGCGCGCGCGCGCGCGCGCACACACACACACACACACACACACACAGCAGAGGCTGTATGTGCTGGTGCAGCTCTATTCCCAGCACTGAGGAGGCAGAGCTAGGCAGATTTCTTTGAGTTCAAGGCCAGCCTGGTCTACAAATGAAGTTCCAAGCTAGCGAAGGCTACATAGTGAGGCCCTGTTTCAAAACAAACCAAAAACAAGACAAAATAGCTCATTAAATTACAGTTTATGGTAGGGGTTGCATTTTCCCCCTTTCTAAACAAATTTTGAAGAAAATTTACTATTATTATTGTATAGTTTTTAAATACACTGTGTATATAGTGAGAATTTATTTTGTAGCTGGAGAGATGGGTCAGTGGTTAAGAGCACTTGCGTCTCTTACACTGACTAGCACAACCTTCTGGAACTCAAGTTGTAGGATTCCAGCACCTCCTCAGGTCTCTGCAGGCACAACACGTATATGGTGTACATGGAGCCCGGAAAACACTCTTTTTCTTTAATTTTAAAAACTTGATTGTTGGTTTGTGGCAGGGTTTCCAGCACCTCCTCAGGTCTCTGCAGGCACAACACGTATGTGGTGTACATGGAGCCAGGAAAACACTTTTTTTTTTCTTTAATTTTAAAAACTTGATTGTTGGTTTGTGGCAGGGTTTTTCCATTTGTAGCCCAGGCTGTCCTGGAACTCACTATATAGACCTGGCTGGCCTCGAATTACATTGATATGCCTGCCTCTGCCTGCCTGAATGCTGGGATTAAAGGCATGTGCCACCATGCCCAGCAACTGCCCAGCTATTTATAATCAATATTTTTTTAAATATATTTTGTCAGCTGGATATAGTGACACATACCTTTACTCCTAGCATTTGTGAAGCAGAGGCAGGTATATCTTTGTTTAC